GCGAGCGTCATTCGTGATTGTTCGATTCTTCATGGAAGTGTAAGGTCTTAAACTGAATTCTCATGTTTTAGGATATTGTCTGAGAGTCACTATGTAATACTCGGCAAAATTTATCTAAACTGTAAATGAGAGTCAGTATTACCGTTCGATTTCCTTTGAGTGTCCGTCAAACTAAGTTCTATTCTGTAGAGAATTTAGTTAATGGCGATCGTTATATTATGAGGTATATGTAAATGAGCGTTCGGTCTAAGTATAGTTCTTCTTTATGCTTCCTAAAACAGTTTAGTTAATGTATTCTATAATACGTAAAGTCGTAGATATTATCGTTTTTTTCATTAAAACAAGTGTGGCGTAATTGTATATATATTCTTTCATTTTTATTTAGTTTAGTGTTCGGTCCTGGAACCAAGCGTTCGGTCTCAGTAGCGCGCGTTCTTGATAAGTGCTTGGTCTTGGACCAGTCAATAGTGTTCGGTTTCTACAGTGCTCGGTCTTAAACCAAGCGCTCGGTCTAGTCTCAGTAATCTATTATTACCGTTTTTAAAATAATAGTGTTCATTTCTTCATAGTATCTCGTCAGTTATTAGTATTTGGGGTCAAACATATCAGTCTCTTTAATGTTAGTCTCATACTAAAAGTAAGTACAAATAATGTTCGTTTCTTCATGGTATCTCATCAGTTATTAGTAATTTGGTGTCAAACAGTATTGGTCTCTAAATGGTGTTTGACCTAGAGTCTTAGTACCGGCCTAGACTTCGTGCGTTCGGTTTGAACTCTTATGGTCAGTTCATTGAAGCGGATCAATTTGTAAATAGCACTTTGTCATGTTATTTTCTGAGGAGTGTTATTCCATTCGGACTTGTGCTATGATGAGAAAGTGTGATCTTATTTTTGTTGAATATGTTGGATGATGAAGATAATGAAAATTGAAATGTGATACAAATTGAAATAGTTTGGTTATGAAAGAGTATTACAGGGAGGAATATTCTCATAAGTGGTTATTGAATGGGAAGTATGAAATGTGGGCAAAGCTTAGCGGCGTTATCTATATGCCGTGATTACTATTTTCGTAGAGAGGAGTAAGTCTGTATGAGAATGGCAAGGAGTCCTAGTCCATAAGGTTAACTTGGACGAACGGATTAACCTCGGGTGGCAGCTGTTGAGGGTATCCCAGTTACTACATCACCCGGGTGCACGAACGTCGTTAGTTACACAGAATTCATTACAGTCCGGATAGTCAGAGGCAAATGGTCGGTCTTTGCATGTCATGATGTAATGAATTATGAGTTGTTGTTGTTTGATTTAATCAGAAAATTGTATGTTTTTATTGAATTAATTAAATTACATAAGCTTACCCATTTATTTGTCTTGTCCGTGTTGTGCATTCGGTTGGTTGTCATGTTGCAATGATCATCCGTATGGTTGTGAGCAGAAGGAGAAGTTGCTGGAAGAAGCATTGGAAGAGGTGAAAGTGAAGACTGAACCTTAGACGTTCGGTCAATTGTTGGCCTCTTCTTTTGTAGATAGCGTTCGGTATAAATTTATTTTGAAAACCGTTCGTTCTAGTTGTAGCCATTGTACAGTTTTAACTCCCTGCTAGTTTGTAAGGCCGTTCGGTCATAACTGTACGTATTATCTTTTTTAAGACTAATCTGTAATATTATTAATATGTGATTATTCTCTTATATGGTTGTATACTGTATTTTTGGGATGTATTACTCAAAATAAAGGGAAAGTGAAAAGATGTATTTTATTAACAATCATATCAACATAATTTTAATAACAATATTAAGTTAATATATTATTGAATTTTTTATGTAATTTATTGGATGTATTATATAATTAACTTAATAAACATATTTAATTCTAAATTTATTTAAATCCTTAAATTTTTTAATGAGATTGTTACATATTAACAATTTTAGTTAATACCTCCACTATTTTAATTCAATATAATTTTAATACAATTATTGAATTAATTTAATATATTATTAAATTTTTCATGTGTATATTGTTCCAATATTATTTAATCAGCCAAGTTAACTTATTAAAAAGTTTAAATTTAATTTAATACTTTATTAAAGTTTCCCTTATATAATTTTAGTTCTTAAAATTATATAAATTCTTAAAATATTTATTGTATTTGTAAATACGTCTTTGTAATTCAATTTATTATTTTTAATTTGATTTTTTCTTTATTTTTCTATTTGAAAAAAAAAAACTTAGTTTAGAATCTGATTTTTCGCTGACTTCAATCAAAACTTAGTTGACGAGACTTCAAAACAGCTGGAAACTAAATTTGTCAGGGAAAACTTGGTCAATCTAACAGTTAAACTTGTAATATTATTTTTATCTTTATATTTGTTGAAAATAATTAATACAATTTTATACTTTTTTATTCAATATAAAATTTTTGTTTGTTAAAAAAGTTAATATGGTATCAGTTGATGTCTATATTATTTACACGAAGAGATATTGTCTAAAGTGATTGAATTATTTAATATGACACCAATTATTTCCTTTCATGTTTTATTTACATAAAGAACGATGATGATAATCATAATAATAATAATAAATACTAATAATAATAATAATAGTAATAATAATAATAATAATAATAATAATAATAATAATAATAATAATAATAATAATAATGTAAATGATATGTATCATTGTTAAGTTATTCAAAGTGACATCAACTTTTTATTATTAAGTGTCAATACTAATTCAATAAAAACAATCCTATCGATTTTTTTTAGCAAATATAAAGACCATATTAAATAAAAAAATTAAAAAACTATATTAAATAGTTTCTAATAAATATTGATAACTATTACAACAAAATTTAAATACGATGGAAATGTTTGAAGTTTTATACTGAGCAAATTATCCATATGAATAAAAAAATAAGAAAAATTATAACATTTAATAATATTAATTAGCTTGAACATATTATATTATCTTAGTTGTTTATATTATTGTCTAATTTACTTTTCGTGTCTTAAATGTATGTACACAAATTTTCTTTTAAAAAATCCATCACTACAAGATTTCCTCCATATTTTAAATATAGAAGTATAATTTAATTTAATACATTTGTGGTTTGTGTATATATAGAATATAAATAATGAAGGGTGGTGAATTGATGAATTACAATGTGAAAATTTTGAGATGTTATAAAAAATGTTTAAATTTTGAGACTCAGTAGGAATAACTGGTTTTGTGAATAAACAAAAGAAAAAAGTTTTAACACCTAATAATATTATGTTTATATAATTTATTTTTCACGTTTATCTTAATTCTACAGTTATTTATCACTGTATATTATTATCTAATTTAGTTTTCACGTGTCTTATATTAAATATACGCGCGTAATTTTTCTTTTTAAGAAAATATATCTTTTAAAAAAATTTATCTCTAATTTAAACTTAAAATTAAAATTTAATTTAATGCATTTATTTTTTTTATACAAAAATAAAACTACTAATCACTAAATCAGAATAAACATGATCAAAGATTGAAAAAGTACTATGTGATTTTTTATAAAGTCCATTCATTTCTTACCGACAGGGTGAGTGGTATAAATATTGACAATTTACACATGTAGAATTATCATAAAAGTAAATTCAATATTAATCACGCAAAACTAAATACCAGCATTACTCAGGTCTAATTTTATAAATTCATTGTCCTTTTCTTTACATATATTTATTTAAATTTAATATTTAATTCATTAAGTGATTTTAAAAAAGGGCCACTCTTATATTATACTCTAGGTGTTTCTTTTCTGCATAAATTTTTACTTTTCTTCACCGGTCCATATTTTTCATATCTTTAAATAACATTTTTCTTTTTCATCTTAGAAATTAATAATCTTAAATTATTTGAATTAAATCAATTTATAAGATACGTATTTAATTATTTCTGTTTATTTTTTATTTCTTGTTTAATTTTTATCATGTAATAATATCTGATATTCAATGCTAAATGTTGAATTGCTTATTAATTTATTTAGTAATCTAACACATATATATTGTTTTGTTTCATTTAATCCATTGTTTTGTTTCATATAAAGAAATGTCTTTTGTCATTGAGTTTTTTTTTTCCATGAAATTTTTAATTAATAATAATGCTGATATTTATGTAATTTTAATTTATGTTTTCATACTTGAGAGGAAAAGGGTATATTTATCTTTTTAATGGTTGATAATATTTATTTATATATATATATATATATATATATATATATATATTTTCATTTTACTAATAATTAGTATAATATGAGGCGGAAAAATACCCATACCATAAGGAAGTAAGTGTACAAATTTATCTTTTTTTCATCCCTGGTATTAGACAAAAAAGTGCTTAGTTGATTCAACAATTGGAATATTCAAAACTAAGTAAGTGAACAAGTATGTTGTTTTTTAACTTCCGTAACTGAATAAGTGATTATTTGGTTTGAAATAAACAAACAGAGTGAGAAGAAACCCATGTGAGGTAGCAATCGACTAAATAGGAAAACCCTCATTTTACATTAGGAATATTCCAAATGATTCCCAATGATTCCATTTTTATATATAATTATTATTTATTTAATAATCAATTCACGATTTTTAATGAAACTAATTAAAAAATAGTTCATAAGCATTTTATTCATGAAATTGTGTATGGGATGTGCCGCTGCTCCATCCAACAACAAAAGTTCGACTTTTATTTTCGTCAAAAGCTGTTTAAACGCGCTTTTTTTTTCATCACGTCAAACAAAATTAGCCTACAAACTCTGTTTAAATTATTATTTTTCTTAATTTCAGTTGAACTGATCTGACTCAATTCCTTAACTATTTTCCAAACAAACACGATCAACTAGCGTTTCCAACTTTACAACAGTTCAGACAAGAACGGCGTGAATTTTTAAATTAAACAATATATTTTTCAAAAAAAAGTAACATATATATTTATTTATGTAAATAGATATGAAAGGTAATAAATATGCCATCATCACAAAGATACATACAGAGCATAAGACAGTATCTTTTTCTTTCTCGCTCTTTCTCTACATCTCCGCGTATCCCTAGTTTCTCTCTCTACCTCCTCCTCCAAACTCACTCTCGTATGCCCATTTTCTGAACACGCTTTTCGAGAGGGTCAGTTTCTTTTCCATCTTTTCCGCCGTGCTTCGATTTGTGCTCATTTTTGCTCTGTGAGGATTCCACTATTTTTGTTTTTTTCGAGTTTCTATTGTTTTGATTTAGACGCCCCTGTCTTTGATGGGGTTTTGGGAGGGGAAAAAGGAAGGACAATGTGGGTTTCATGTTGTTGTGGTTTTTCTTTTCTTTTGATGAACAATTAGGCTTGAGGGCTTTTTTTTTTTTATTTCTTTCATTTTTGCTTTTTTGACATATTGTTTGTTTGTTGATCTTCTTGACTCCTTTTTTACGCTGTGATTTCCAGATTATGGAAATAAAGTAATAATTTTGGCTTGTGTCACGTGTCGATGGGATTATGTGATGTTGATTGTTCTCTAAGTTTTGAGGATTATTTCATCTTGCTTGGGATAAATCCGAATTCAAGTCAATTTTTTTATTTCTTGATTACTCAATATGTTTGTTATTTGCCCCTTTTGCTTCTTATGGTTCTAACTTGTTTTTGAAAAAGTCTTTGTCAATAATTACATAAATTATGTCTCTTTGTGACACCTAAGCTCATAACCTTCAGTTGTTAATTATGAATTATTGCTTCTGACATAGAGTATTGGGACATTGTTTTAGTTTTCCCGTTATTTCTTTTAGTTTTTTTTAATAACTTCTAGTTTTTTAGTTAATCTACCCTGCATTATTGTAGGGTTGAATTGTTTATTTATTATTATATATCGTGGTGTTTCAATTGGGTTGGAATGGTTAAGATGGTTTTGATGATATATATATTTTAGGTAAGTTTGAGCGCTGGTCCTGTACCGTGCTTCCTTACCTGCATTTCATCCATAAATGGGCTGTTTCGTCTCTCGGCCTAGAAGAAAGTTTCCTGCACAGGAGAAGACAGTAACTCTTGCATCAGAAACTGCTTGTAAGTTGATCAACACTTCCAGAGAAATGATGCAAAGCTTATATTCTTGTACAATCATGTGTGACTTTTTTCTTGAATTATAACTGTATTTCTTTATGAGGAGTTTCCTTTTGTGAATTTACTTTTGACCTTGCACTCTTGCTTGACGAATCTCTGTAAGGGCTTGCTGTTATGATTGTATGTTTCCAGCGCCTGTGAGGTTTTGGGAATGGGAAAGATTGCAAATTTGTGACAAACGTTTATTGTTGAAAGTGGGCGAATGTGGAGCTCTAGAAACGGGCTATTCCCCTTGGTCATACCAAATCTTATTCAATCTTAATTTTGGCTACATTTAGATGAAAAGGCCATGCTCTGTCAAATTGCTGCATTTGTGGGTATATAAATGTACGGCAATAATATAAATTTTAGTTATTCTGTACTAGTGAAGTAAATCGAAGAAAATGTTGTTGGTCGCTTGCAAATAAAGAAGAACCTCTCATCTTCTCTGTTAAATTAGATTCGCTAAGTCTTCCTTTAGTTTCGATCTTTCTGTCACTAACTTAAGCAGAAAAGCCTCTTTTTTCTTCCATTTGCTACAAACTTTTCTATTATTTGAAACGCAACAATAAATTTGCAAATTTAAGTAATGAAATTGGAGTGAGTTGTCAGTTTATTGTGTCATTGTATCAATTGAAATGGATGCAATAGTTGTCTTGGGGTCTGTTACCAGTCAATTATTTAGAACAATGTTTCCATCTAGTGATGCATTTGGTATAAAACTATTGCCTATTTCTCCATATTTATATGTTCTAATTTAAACTTGTGTATATTTTTGGTTTTCCATTTCCCAGTTACTGTTAGTGAGGTTGAAGCACTGTATGAGCTTTTTAGGAGCATCAGCAGTTCTGTTATCGATGATGGACTGATAAGCAAGGTACTACGTAGATATTTGTTTTTTTTTTCATTTTCTATTATCTGCGATAAGTTGTTTTATGAAGATTGGTAATTTTTATTGTTTGTAGTTATATTATGACATCTCTTGCAACGAGTACTTTGTCACGAGAGATTTGGTCATATATTTGCATTTGTAATTTTGTCAAGAATTTAATTCGTGTTTAACTTCAGTTTGGGATATTCCAATTATTCAATTATGTGTAATATAAGGACAAACGGTTGCTATTTTCTTAATGATGTTTCCAGGCATGAATGATCTGAATAGAATATCACTTTTGTTAAGCTTTTCTTTCATATATTTTATAAAAAAAAGCTTCATTTATATTATTGTTCTAAGCCAACTTGTTCTCACATGGAATTCGGTGTCCATATTGTGGCTTTGGATAATCTTTCTTTGCAGGAAGAATTTCAATTGGCAATCTTCAAAAACAAGAAAAAGNTAGTTTCGATCTTTCTGTCACTAACTTAAGCAGAAAAGCCTCTTTTTTCTTCCATTTGCTACAAACTTTTCTATTATTTGAAACGCAACAATAAATTTGCAAATTTAAGTAATGAAATTGGAGTGAGTTGTCAGTTTATTGTGTCATTGTATCAATTGAAATGGATGCAATAGTTGTCTTGGGGTCTGTTACCAGTCAATTATTTAGAACAATGTTTCCATCTAGTGATGCATTTGGTATAAAACTATTGCCTATTTCTCCATATTTATATGTTCTAATTTAAACTTGTGTATATTTTTGGTTTTCCATTTCCCAGTTACTGTTAGTGAGGTTGAAGCACTGTATGAGCTTTTTAGGAGCATCAGCAGTTCTGTTATCGATGATGGACTGATAAGCAAGGTACTACGTAGATATTTGTTTTTTTTTTCATTTTCTATTATCTGCGATAAGTTGTTTTATGAAGATTGGTAATTTTTATTGTTTGTAGTTATATTATGACATCTCTTGCAACGAGTACTTTGTCACGAGAGATTTGGTCATATATTTGCATTTGTAATTTTGTCAAGAATTTAATTCGTGTTTAACTTCAGTTTGGGATATTCCAATTATTCAATTATGTGTAATATAAGGACAAACGGTTGCTATTTTCTTAATGATGTTTCCAGGCATGAATGATCTGAATAGAATATCACTTTTGTTAAGCTTTTCTTTCATATATTTTATAAAAAAAAGCTTCATTTATATTATTGTTCTAAGCCAACTTGTTCTCACATGGAATTCGGTGTCCATATTGTGGCTTTGGATAATCTTTCTTTGCAGGAAGAATTTCAATTGGCAATCTTCAAAAACAAGAAAAAGGAGAACATCTTTGCAACTCGGGTACTATAAACATCCTACTTATCTTGCTTTTACTCTCTTGATAGTAGTAGTATGCTAGAATGACTAATGTTTCTTGCAAGCATTTGTGGATGACTATAGACTGTCAATAAGAAATCGTCGTTGTAATCTCTGGATCAGCAATTTGCAATAAAAGTAGGGTATTAAAGAAATTTTCTGTTTCTATTTCATCTTCTGAAAGAATCTCACTAGATTTATCTTTCAGCATATGCCTGTAACATTTATTGTGAACCATGTGCTTCCATCTAGCTTTTTATCAAATTTATGTATGTAGATTATATTTGATTATGTCACTGTCATTCTCGGGGCATTTCTATGAAGTAATCCTTCATTTGACTAGATTTCCATTGATACGGTCCGTGCAGATCTTTGATCTCTTTGATGTCAAGAAGAAGGGAGTCATTGACTTCGAAGACTTTGTTAGATCGCTCAATGTTTTCCATCCAAATGTGTCATTAGAAGACAAGATAGCCTGTAAGTCAATAGTCAAATCCTCAACCCAGTTTATCCTAAATTCCTTACGGCGTGATCTAGTTATTCTGATACATTAGGTCGACTGGTACCTTGTTTCAGTTTCATTTAGGCTCTATGATTTGCGCAATACTGGCTTTATAGAGCGTTCAGAGGTAAGACGGTGATTTTTAATTCATCTGTCTTCATGCTAACTAAGTGCTCATTGCTACAATACAAAATAAGTGCTAACCTACGCATAGATAAGGTCTTTGCAGCGTTGTGATGATTTGCATTTTGGTTTGGTGTATTTTGTCGTGGCATCCATTTGCACGCCTCTGCATTACTGTCATGTAATTAGAATGGGCTTATTCATTTTTTTTTGTGGTTTCAGGTTAAAGAAATGTTAATTGCACTTCTTTATGAATCGGACATGAAGTTGGCAGATGATGTCATAGAAACAATTCTGAACAAGGTGACTTATGCCTATTATGGATATCTTGTATGCATTATGGAAAAAAAATATATTATTTGTTACCATGTTGTATGTTGTCTATTTTTAGCATCAATTATCAGGAAGTAAATAAAAGTCTTGAGCCTGTCATCGGATTTTTTTTGTCTAGACTTTCTTGGAAGCTGACCTAAACGAAGATGGGAAAATAGACATGGAGGAGTGGACAAATTTTGTTGCTAAGAATCCATCACTATTAAAAATCATGACCCTACCTTATCTGAGGTATGTGCTGAATTAATTTTATGGTACATCTGAATTTACTTTCATACATATTTTTTANATTCAAGAAACCCAATTCACAGACCCAAATATCCAAGGAAAACCCCAATCGTAAGAACCAAATTCAAAAATCCCCAAATTCCAGATTTCATAAACCCTAGTCAGAAACAGAGCACAGGGAAAGAACAAAAGTCTTTTGCAAAGTCGAACCAGAGAAGGAGAAAACAAAAATCCGAAAAGGAACCCCAAGATTCCCCAAACAAAACCCCAAGCCAATGCCATGCACTGCCACGAAAACACCCACTAACTAAGACTGTCGCCGTTGTAGAGATGCCGACGAACGAACCCACACGTCATGGAGATGAGTCGCGTTTGAGCCACCGGACCTAGCCTCCCTTCCTACGAAATGAACCAAAATGGGAAGAAAAAGAAGGCTACTTTGCAAGATCAAAACAGCAGCGGAGACGAGGGATAAGAAAGGTGTCTCCCTTCTCTGCCAAAAACATTAATTATAAATAAAAGTGATTAAAAGGAAAACAATAATCCAAATTAATTATAATTAAAACAAATACTAAACATGTCACCACCCATACGATTTAAAAAAATGACACGTTACCAATATTTTCTACCATATCATCTATTATTAACACCGTTTGTTTCTATTTAACGAAAGGGACGACGTTGACGCAAACTTTAATAAGTGATGACTAATTTCAAACACTTTTAAAATAAGAAACTGAATTGACATTATTCAGAAAAACTGAGAACAAAATAGAGTATTAAACCTAAAATTAAAATAGATAAGCAAATGGTTTGAGTTTATACCAAGCATGGCTTTAATACTACAAAGTCATATATTAAAAGTTATCTATTATTATTATTATTATTATTATTATTATTATTATTATTATTATTATTGTAGTGTTATATTAAAAGTGATCCAATAGTATTAATTTTAACATTTTATCTAAGATCTTTTATGTGTGGTAATTAAAGGGTATGTCTATTTTATAATGAATAAATAGAAACACAAAAAAAATGTCATGAGAGATAGAGACACAAGTAAAGATGCTGTTAAGAAAGTTGGTGTTGATTTGTTTCTTATTATGACTTCAGGTATATGTTTTTAGTTCTGATAATTAAAATGATAAATGGATTATAGTTTTTCATGAAATACTTAAGTTTAAATTTAGTTCTAACAATTAGTATAAGAGTCATTATCATAATGAATTATAAAATGTGTTTTTCGATTGACTTATTTTTTCATTATAATATTTTATATATTTGTAGCGTGTTTTCAAGATAAGATAATATTGATAATTAGATGGTTGGTTTATTTTGTTTTAAGATATATTTTGATATGAAATAAGGATATTTAAGTAGAACACATGTATATGTTTCAGAATATCACAAAAATTGTTTTTTTTATATTAGTGAAATCAATTAATCATGTCACAACTTTATATCTTGTGTTATTTTTTTATTTATATGTTTTGAGACTAATTAATTGAAACAACATATTACCAAAGTGATTTTTTGTGTAAATTATTTATTTCAAAATATAAAAAGATTATGAGTTTGAGATTTGTGTGGGGGTATTACTAGTATGTCTAAAGATGGATTAATATTATATGTGTATTGGTGGTGATAAATGTATAATGATTGTACAATTTTTGCATATAAATATTAAATCTTTCTAAAAATATTTCTATATGTTATTATTGTTAGCATTTTATTATTAGGAAAAAAATCAATGTAATTTTATCCAAAGTAAAATATTAATGTATTATCGATATCTTTAAATAATTTATTTGGAACTTATATTTTGTTTGTTGTTCTCAATTTACTTACAAATTATCTTATCAATATTATTGTCAATATAAACTTTATTTCTATTTTGATAGAAATATAGTAATGGATTTTTACCTCATGTTAAGATAGATTCATTACACCTCTTACATAGGAGAGTATCCCTGAAAATAAGAAACAAATGAAAATGGGGAAAAAGTTAAATTGGATGAGTCTAATAATTATGAAAAAATCTATTTCAAAAACATTGAGACACAATTTGTGAAAAACATAAATATATAAATAAAGACAACATCAGAGTGTAGAAAAAAAATTAAGGAGGTATTTGCAAAAATTGAAAAAAAAAAGGTTTGTTAACAGTAAAAAGTTTGAGATATATATACATTTGAATTTTTTTTAAAGAAATATATAAATAAAGACAACATCAGAGTGTAGAAAAATCTCGTATATTATTTTAAAATTAAACGCACTTGAATTAAAACTCTTTGAGGATGTACTATTGCATTTAGTTTGTTTATCTTGTGACAAAATTTGATCATTTAAAGTGAGTTATAATTCTAAAAAAAATACTTGGTCTCTAAATAAACTCATCTCATAATATGTTCAAGAACATAAAAAGATTGAAGCAAGACAAAAAATGCCCATTTTGCTTACACTTTAGTAAAAAATAATAAGAGACTAAAAAAAGAAAAATAACAGATATTTGTTCTTTTTCTTCACTACTTATTAACTAATTTATACAAGATCTTCTTGTTCCTCTAATTTCAGTGTTCCACAACAATCAATCTATTTCATACTTGGCTCACAGTCTAACATTTCACAAAGCATATAGAAAATTCAAATGTTTTTCTTCATTTTCTACCTATTATTTCTTCNTTTTATTTTATTATTTGATGAAAAATGGGAAGCAAAGGGACTGAATGAATTTTGATAAGACAGAATGACCTCAACTGCCGATGGTGTGTCTGGTTGGTTTCCTTTCGTGAAGAGTCAAACTAAATTAAGATCATATTTGATTGACTTTAGATCCAACGTTCCTAAACTATGATTTAAGTGAAAGCTATAAAAAACCAGCTTTTTGTCCAAATTATGATATGTAGTTTTCAAATACAAAATTAAAATTAAGGATTAATATCCTATTTTATTTCCAGTTTTGTTGAATAATATCAATTTAGTCATTCATTTTTAGAACTGTCAAAATGGGTCACAATTCGTGATCAATCCGGTCGGGTTGGGTTTGAAAAAATTGTACTTTTTTTTTTATGTGGGTCAGATTTCAACCCGACTCATTTAAACCCGACTTATACAGGTTGAACCCGTGGTGGGTCGGATTGGCCCACCAACCCACCTACTTAATTTTATTTTATTAAAATTTAATTTTAATTTTATAAGACAATATTTATTATTTTGTTTTTGCTTGAAAAAATTATTTAAGTTTCTTATTTTTAAAAATAATTAAACACTTATCTTGGGAGTGAAATTTGAGAGTGAAATTTGTTTAGATTTGAATTATAGAAAATTTGTAATTATTTATATTTAAAAAAATTGTAATTAAGTGAGTCAGTGAGTCAACCCGTTTACCCACCAACCCGTGGTGGGTCGGGCCGGGTTTGAATTTTTCTGGTTCGCTAATAAATGAATCGGGTTGGGTTGGCTCATTAAGTGACCAACCCGTGGTGGGCCGAGTCGGGTCGGGTCGGGTGACCCGTTTTGACAGCTCTACTCATTTTAAAAGTGTTTGAAATTGGTCCTCACTTACTAAATTTTGCATCAATATTATTCTTTCCGTTAAATAAAAATAAACATTGTTAATAGATTGATGATATGGCAGAATATAGGAGTAGCGTGACACTTTTAAGTTGTATTCGTGGCGACTTTATTATTTTTTAATTAGTTTTGGTTTATCTGCGTCAATTATGAAATGGAGTTATGAAATGAAATGTTAAATGGCTTTTTCTTCCTCTTTCTCACACCATAGCCAAACATATTTGTATCTTCATCTTCTTCTTCCAACACCATGCCTCACCCNTGAGATTGTTATACCAGTAATCAGTTAAGTCTCTTTAGTTTGGTGCATACTCGTTATTATCTTTTGGTCCAATGCTCTTGAGGATATGGCTAAATTTGTTTCACGCCACATTTAGAATTGATAATCTGCTTTTGCATATTCTGATTTTTATTGATTTAAAACCCTACATCATCTTGACTCATAGAGAGAAATATGACTCATGTTATTTAACTTTTTGTTGGTCTCTCTAAATAATATGAATAGCAATCAATACATATACTTGTGCCAATTAGCAAATCATTTGGGCATTGAATGTAAAAAAATATTTTCTGATAATTTTTATTCATGATAGGTCCCAGGAAATTAATGAGTTACATAGTAGTTCGAGAATTAGTTCAGTGGTGATAGTTGGAAGAGCAGGGGGCTTATAACCTAAACAGATGGGTTAGGAGGGAGATTCAGATGGCTTTTCTACATATTATGATATTAATTAGATTTAACTTATGAGTAATGTATCAATTAAGTTGCAAGCAATTATTTTCTAAAGGCTATTTTTTCTTTAGATAACGGGTTAGGGTATCTGATGCATAATTTCAACCGCATGTCAGTATCTGGAATCCACTTCATGGTACTATTTTCTTCATTTGATTTGACCCACGTAATTGTGAATTAGCTGACAAGGACTGATCTTATATGTAGTAACTTCGACTGTTCTTTTTATGATGGTCACTATTAGCATATGTCCAGTAATTATGGCAATCCAGTGATAACACCGGGTATTGAAGACATTGAAGCAATGAAGTTTTTTTTGCGTTTGTTTTTGGATTATACCCCTACGCTACTATATTATATCTCTTAGTTGAATTCTTTGTTTTGAATAGTTTGACTAATAATGAAACTTTGTATTGCTTTCGGATCCAATGCTTCTAATGGTTGTGGAAATGCGGAGTTTCGTGCTATGACAGTTACTATATGTTTTGTGGACGTGAATAATTATTTTGTTGTTTCGTATTGGCAGAGACCGCATAATGGGGCTGATGTAAATTATGATTCCTTATCCAATCCGGACAGAGTTAGTTTGGAAGCAAGTGTATCTGCAGAAGAACTGGAAGACAGGATGGATCAATTCACGTACATTATGCAGCAGAAGTTTCTTTTAGGGGAAGATCAGGAGCATCTTGATTACTCTAAAATAGATAATGACGAGACCCTTGACGATCATTGGCAGAGGGAGGCCAATAT